GTTGAGGGAGGAGTAGGTGGAGGTGGAAGAGGTTATGAGGGGATAAACAGTAATGAAAAAAATACAATAAAAGTGAACTATTAAAAAAGAAAAAAGAAAAGTAAAACCTACTCCAGTAAGGAAATCTTAGAATATTGCCTTAACCTAATTTGAATCAAATGCGGTAAGTGGGGGGCTTCAGACAGGGGCCTTTAGTTTAGATACCCTGTGTCCCATTGTTCCTAAGTCACCTAGCAAGGATTTGCCTGCCATGTACATTCTGCTCTTTCTCAACTACCTGTAAGTCACCCATTCTCACTTCTGAAATCTAAGACCCCCTCTTCCACCTCTTTTCTCACTTGTCAAAAATGTTGTATATAGAGAGGAGAACGTAGGCAGGAAAATCTCAGATATTCCTTGCAGCAATATTTTCACTGATATGTCCCCTGCAGCAAGGGACATAAAGGAAAGAATAAACAAATCGGTTTTCATCAAAATAAAAGGCTTCTGTACAGCTAAAGAAAACATCAGCAAAATGAAAAGGGAACAAACTGGGTGGGAAAATACATTTGCAGATGATACCTCAGACAAGGTTTGATCTCCAAAATATATGAAGAACTCACATGACTCCACTCCAGGAAGACAAACAACCCAATTAAAAAATGGGCAAAGGACCTGAACAGACACTTCTCCAAGGAAGACATACAGAGGGCCCAGAGACATATGAAAGGATGCTCAGCATCACAAGCCATCAGAGAGATGCAAATTAAAACCACAGTGAGATACTACTTCACACCAGTCAGAATGACCATCATAAACAAATCAACAAACAAGTGTTGGAGAGGATGCAGAGAAAAGGGAACCCTTGTACACTGTTGGTGGGAATGCAGACTTTGCAGCCACTGTGGAAAGCAGTATGGAATTTCCTCAAAAAACAAAAAATGGAACTGCCTTTAGACCCATCAATTCCACTGCTGGGATTATACCCTAAGGATCCCAAAACACCAGTTCAAAAGAACCTGTGCACCTCTATGTTCATAGCAGCATTAGTTACAATAGCCAAGTTTTGGAAGCAACCTAAGTGCCCATCAGTAAATGAGTGGATCAAAAAACCATGGTACATTTACACAATGGAACACTATGCAGCAGAAAGAAAAAAGGAGCTCCTACCCTCTTTGACAGCATGGATGGAACTGGAGAGCATTATGCTAAATGAAATAAACCAGGTAGTGAAAGACAAATACTATATGATCTCACCTATACGTGGAACCTAATCAACAAAACAAACAAACAAGCTAAATAGAACCAGAGACATTGAAATAAAGAATAAACTGACAGTAACAAGAGGGAAGGAGCAAGGATAGCAGGGGAGAGAAGGGGAAGGATCACCAAGGAACATGTATAAAGACCCGTGGATAAAGCCAAAAGGTAGGATTGAGGATGGGGCATGGGGGTGGGTGGGGTGGGGAAAAGAAGTGGAGGGAAAATGGAGACAACTGACCTTGAAAACGAATTAAAAAAGTCATATATACCCAATGTTGCCTCACTATCTTTGGAATTTTCATGCTTATGTGAATTTTCATCAGCATGTACTAAAATTTGATTTTCTCCCATTACATGTTCTCTGTTAATTTGGTTATTAGCCTAGCTAGAACATAGAAAGTGGAAGAAAAAGTATTCATTATTTTTAGCCCTCATAGTAACATCTATGTGTTTGGTTTTTTTTTTAACTTCAAAAGTGGCAAGATTCTGAGGCAAGGAAATCTGGTTCTTATTAAGTGACAAAAATTGCAAAATGACAGAATTTTGTATTTCTTCTTCTTCTCTCTCTTAGCCGTCATCTCTATTTAGAGATCTTAGACAGGAGGCAAAGGAAGAAACCTGCATCGTAGAATGCAGACAGTTACCTCATACAGAAGAAAAGTGGAAACATTTTATAGTAAATACCATTGACCACTGACCCCAAGATTTCTGACTTGATAAAATCCTTTCACCAGAGTTTTCTTAATGTTGTATTTTTTCCACCCCAAACATCCTTATTGCCAATAAAATTATAAACATAAAACATGTTTTATGAATTATAAAATTCATTAAACAAGAATAAGGAGAAAGGTATTTTCATTACCACCCAGATATCCAAAACTGCATAAGAAAAAAATGAGCAGGAAGGGAGATCCATACATGATAACCTGCCATGCTTTAACATCAAAAACTATCATCAAGGTCTGTCAGAGAGAGGTTTTCCTGGTCCTTTCTTCATTATTAACTTGACAACTACCCCAGGAGCCAGTATATATCCCCACGAGAATCTAGAAGAGGGCTTCTGTCTATTGCAGTGTATGTATATCAACACTGATACTAATAACCATTGTCACTTATGTAGTGCCTACTACATAATATGCATAGGTTCCTGGCATATTTATATACAATATATAATGTGTGTGTGATACATGCATTATATCACACATATGTGATATATATGTGTATATAATGTATACACATAATAGACACATCTATTATACATAAATGTGTGGATATAATATAATATGTGTATGTAATATATATTTGTTAACCATATATATGAGGTATCTGAAAAAAACTTAATATGTAAAGAAGTTAAGAACTTCAGCACCTTCCCAGGAAATTCTGGCTTCAGGTGTAGTTCTGCAGCCAACAAAGGGAATATCACTGAACCAAGCATTTCTTTAAAATGACAAATTAACACCCTGACTGGTATAGTTCAGTGGGTTGGGCATCATCCCACAAACTGAAAGTTTGCTGGTCAAATTCCTGGTCAGGGCACATGCCTGGGTTGGGGGCCAGGTCCACAGTGAGGGGGGCGGGTGCCGGAGGCAAACCATCAGTGTTTCTCCCCCTTTCTTTTTCTCTCCCTTCCCCTCCTTCTAAAAATGTATAAATAAGTGTCACAGTTTTGACCCCCAGTCAGGGCACGTGCCTGGGTTGCAGGCCATGACCCCCAGCAACTGCACATTGATGTTTCTCTCTCTCTCTCTCTATGTCCTTCCCTTCTCTCTCTAAAAATAAATAAATAAAATCCTAAAAAAAAAAAGACTTTGGCAAATAGATTTACCTTAGGAGCATTTATAAATAAATAAATAAATAAATAAATAAATAAATAAATAAAATGTATAAATAAAATCTTTTTAAAAGCAGTTATAGATTTTAAAAATAAATAAATAAATACAAGTAAAGAATTAAAATGACAAATTAGGGAATCTTAATACATTACAACAAAGAGTATTCAAAATGTCCCAGAGAAAATGCAAAAATTACTAAAGCTGTAATGGTGGAAATAGCAATATAAATTTTTCACTATTTTTCTTTCTAGTTACATTTTTCTAAATTGGCTTTTACAGGCCATGATCTGAAAAGAGTAAAAACTGTTCATTTAAGTTCATGTGCTTGAGAACCCAACTCTGTCATCCCCATTTTCTAATGGGGCAACTTCACTTATTAGAAATTAGTCTACTTGTTTGTAATTTATAGAGTTTAATATATGAAAATACACACTTAATAACAGCAATTTTCATTACAAGATTTCTAAATTGTTTTTAACTCCCCCCTAAAAAAACCTTGCAGAAAATATTTCCACACACCCACTCTTCTCAGGATACTAACCCAAGTAATCAGGAAAGAAATAAGCCGATTGCAAAGAATCTCTTACACCTTTGTGCATATGTGTGTGTCTTTTCCAAAGGAATGTTTCAAAATATGGCCAGCTGGAGAGAATAATAGCTGAGGGCTCACTTATTCTGGTTTTGCATCCACTCACACCTCTCACTACCATGGATGCATTACAAATTCTAACTTAGAATAAACGTATTCTGAGAAAATCCTGGGCCACAAGTCAGAAACTCAGGTCTCAGGAAAGCAGGTTCCTGGTCTGTCACAGCCGTGTGACCTTGGGCAGTCACCCAGCTTCTGGGTCTCAATTTCCTCTTCTGCCAATGATAGAATGAGGCCAGATGATCTAAGGTCCTTTCCAGCTTTAAAAGAGAACCAGGCAGCGACGTGTGCTGTTTAATGCCCTTATGAGTAGAACATTTTGGTGAAAATGTCAAATCAACAAACAACCAAAAAGAGTTACAGCAGGCCGTCATTCAATTAAAAAGCTGGGCATCTGAAGGAATGGACTGAATTCAGTTCATTTCTGACCTGCGCAGCTCACTTGGATCAGTATGAGTGTGCTTATTTGTGTAGGTGTTGGCCACAGGATGACAATAAGCACTGTGTGTGAACTTCACACCCTGGGGAGTTTCACGGTGACATGTCACACGTTCGCCATCAGAAGAAAAACCACAGTACTAATAAAATTTAATTTCCTGATGCCACACCAGTGAGACTAAGAATTTCTTGGTGCACTTGAGTCCTTATTTTCCAGTCCTAAAAATGGCATACTATCTACCACCTAATGGCATGTTATATAAATTCACTAAGAATTGTGAATGAAGAGAATTCAGCCTAATTAAAAAAGAGAGTTTTTAATGCACCAATTCAAAGAAAAAAGCCCAAGAAATAAACTACAATTACAGCATTATTCTATCAGCTCATCTTTTATCATATTCTTCTCTCTCTCTTCCAGAAGAAAGCAGGGCATTAGAATTTAAATAACAAATAAACAGTCTCTCCAAGTGACCTCTATAGCAGAAGAGTTTGAGTCTTTTAGCATGACAGGCATATGTGGCTCCTGAGAAGGACACTGTAAGTCATGAGGAATTTTGCTTAGACCTTCACCTTCCAGACCCTGTAGCCTGGGTCCCACAAGATCAAGCTGTGCTGACACCTGAGCTGGATTAGTTCACCTTTACGAACCAGAATGAAGAGGGACCTGTGCTGGCTTCCTCCTGAACATTCTACATGCTGCGATGGTCTCCTAGTCCAGCCTGATAGGTGTGGCATTAAACATTCCTAAAATGGGAGCATACAGAGTGCAAAGCTGGACTGCAGTCCTCCCCAACCCTATCTCCAGTGACACCCTTGTAGGTGGCATTTCTGCTTACCTTTTTCACAAGGTAGCCCTCCCTGATCTGCTTTGGTTCCATGCTGGCTGGACAAACAGACGGCTGGGTCCACTCAGAAAATTCTCTCAGAAGCTCAGCCTCCTCTGAGGGCTGAGGCAGTTGTGGTCTGCTTTTCTATAGTGAGGTCCCTTTCACAATTTCCCGTTGGCTGGCGTTCACATGATCACATCCTCTTCCCCTCACTGAGGTGGAAGATCAGAATAAGGAAATGCAGAGGGAAACGACCCATTCTGTGCTAATGCTGGAGACTTATGAAAAGTACAGGTGGGTATTTTTATTACCATAAAGAAACTCACATTCTCTGAAAGAGATGAAAACTGGTCAAAGGAAGAGGAAAAGGAACAAGAAAATCTTATTGGTAGAAATAGTCCTGGCTTAGAAATCATTCTTGAGATTCTGAACATGCTTAATAAAAATGCCAAGAAATTCAAAACCAACAGTTAGCATAACGAAGGTAGCGACTTTTAAATGAATGCCTACTTCTATGCCGGGTACTCTTCTAGGTGTTCTTCAGCCAGCCTCATTCATTGCAGTCCTTACAGGAAACCCGTGGGGGGAAGTTTATTATTGTCTCTATCTTAGACATAAATCAGTTCATGCTCAAAAGAGAAAGCAGTTGTCTCTAGGTGACACAGCAGATAAGAGATAGAACCAGAACAGGAGGGAGAGACCTCCCAGGATCCTGGCGCCTCCCCTCAGCCTGAGAACCATGTGTAACACAAAATGCTAATCCTACAGTAGCTTGTAAAAAATATATATACACCTGGCTGGTGTAGCTCAGTGGATTGAGTGGGGGCTGTGAACCAAAGTGTCGCAGGTTCGATCCCCAGTCAGGGTACATGCCTGGGTTGCAGGCCATGACCCCCAGCAACCACACATTGATGTTTCTCTCTCTCTCTCTCTCTTTCTCCCTCCCTTCCCTCTCTAAAAATAAATAATAAATAAAATCTTTATATATATATATATATATACAGTGTCTCAAACTGTATATATATATACAGTTTGAGACACTGTACTTTACATTCCTGGCTTGGTGACTCCCATTTAGATGAACAAATTCAAGTGCTACAGCAGAGAATCCTATTGTAGTGCTGTTTAATCTTGCATTTCTCAAAATTATTTAACTGCAGAATTCTGTTCTGAATAATTTCTACAAACGTTCTTATTACAGGCTGAACTGTATCCACCCAAAAGAAATCCTACTCCCCAGTACCTTTGAACATCATCTTACTTGGAAATAGGTTTTGGGGGATGTGATTAGTTTAGTTAAAATGAAGTCATACTAGAGTAGGTGGGCCCTTAATCCAACACGACTAGTGACCTTATTAGAAGAGGGGTAAAACACAGAGAGCAGACAGCCGTGTGACAGCAGGGGCAGAGATTGGAGCGACACATCTGCAAGCCAAGGATCGCCTGCCAGCACCAGAGCCAGAGGAGCAAGCAAGATTCTGTCCTGGAAGAGTCATAGAGAACATGACCCTGCCAACACCTTGATCCCAGATTTTTAACCTCCAGAACTGTAAGACAATAAACTTCTATTGGTTTAAGCTACCCAGCCTGTGGTACTTCATTACAGCAACCCTAGGAAAGTAATTCAATTGTGAAAAACTAGCCTTCTACACAAAAAACTTTGAGAATGTTTATCTGGCCATGTGAAAATAGGTTATGTAATCACTCGGTGCCTCAGTTTTCTCATTTGTAAGATGAGGACAATAACATGTATTCTGATCCTTCTCAATGATAAATTCAACAGATTATAGGAGTAAACATAGGACTAGATTTTTGATTAGTTCCCATTCCTCATTACATCAATCAGCATTTTTTGGCTGCAGTCAACAGAAACCAACTCTGACTAACATAGGCAAATAGGAATTTACTAGAAGCTCACAGAGTTGAAGAAAAAAAAAATAAAGACTCAGGTTTTTGAAAGGATAGAAATCGGTAAGCAAGAACTAATGGGCGGTTTCTTTGAGACACCAAGCTGAAAGAATTTCGGTGGTTTTCAAGCTCTGCAATAGTTTCCAGCGACTGGGCCTTTGATGAGACTAGCCTGGCTCAGTGCTTACCTCTCAGCCATCTGACAGGAGAGCATGTGGACTGTCCAGCCCCTTCAGGACAGTGCCTGGCGGGGGAGGGCTCACCCCCCAAAGAAAAATTGGGACACTTTGAACAACAGAAGAGTGAAAGGTCCCTGTGTGTAAAAACCCAGAAAATTCAGCAACAGGAAGATCTGTTCTTGGGGTTTTCTAACAGCCTCCTGATTCACTCTCCTCCTTTCCAACTCCATATCTAACCAGTAGTCATTGTCCCTCCATTTTCACTTTTCATTTTATGTTCATGTACGTTACATAAAATTATAGAGAGCTTGTTATCAATTTCTTATTGCACCAGATTAGTTGAAAATTGTTAGAAAGTTTGGGTGAGTAAGAGTGAAAAAAATCAACATTCGATGGCACCTGAGCAAAACAGAAACCAAACAAAGGAATGATTTGCCCTGTCTGCATGTAAACAAGTGTTTTGCGATGTCTGCATTTTTTTAGGCAATGGAAACAGTTTCTAGATTCACCAAGTCTGATTTTGTAGCTAAACTTACCTCGTTGTGTTTAATTAACCAAGTGACTTCCAAACACTAATGTTTTCTCCCTTTGTCCAAATGTGGTCAAAGGTCTTAAAGAATTCTTACTCTGAAATATCTTATTTTTTAGATGCGTACAGTATAAAAGCAGCCCCCTGTGTTCTGAATAATTTACTTAAAAATTATGTTTTGAATGCTTCTATATGCCCTGGACTAAGTAAAATGACTTGCCATCAAGTAGCTTAAATTTATTAATCAGCTGAACATTACCAGGGATGGATTAGATGCCCCCACTCCCCCTTTCCCTGCCACAGGTCATCATGCCTGCTTAGCAACACCTAGTGGTCAGTAGAGGGAACTGTCTGAATCAGTGACATAGGACTTTCACTCCTGTAGGATATAAAACTGAAACTCATAGACGAAGACAACGGTATGGTGGTTACCAGAGGGAAGGGAGTGGGGAAGAGAGGGGAGATAAAGAATGAAGTATTTGGTGACGGAAGATGATTTGACTTTGGGTGGTGGACACACAATGTAATATACAGATCATGTCCACAGAAATGTACACTTGAAACCTACATGAACCTATTAATGTCACCCCAATAAATTAATAAAAATAAAAAATTTTTAAAATAGTTTAATCAAATGCTCTTCTGCCCTGTCTGATCCCATCTCTGGATCAGATCATTAGGACCTCTTTCAATATCTATTTTATTCATGTCTGTCTAGGCTTGCTTTTAAAAGTCACTTTCTGTTTTCGTTTTAATTTTCCCACATTGGATCAATTCCTTGAAAACATTCTTGTAGTGCATTTTATTGGTGTAAGGAAAATTTAGGACTTTGGAATAAGCAAAAAAGAGTACTGCAGGTCTGCAGCAGAAAACTATACTTCATTTACACACACATTTCCAGGGTATCTGATTCTGTGGAGCTTGTTTTTTCTTGTCCTGGAATTACTTTACAGCTCTGTAAATTGTGGGTAACTCATAGCAACGCAAATCATTCTTGTCCACAGACACGCAAAAGTTCTGTCTGCTTAAGCTGCAGTGGACTCTACTCTACTCCACTACCCAACCCAATTCCACCTCCCTAGGAAAAAACAGTTTTTGTCCGTTTGTAAATAGATTTTAACATTCTTTTACTTGATATAAATTTGTCTTTGACTTCTCCTTTGAGCCAGTTGTGACTGGTTCCCTCTGGCTGGTTCCCTCTTTAATTCATGAACTAAATACAATTTTCATTGTATTATATGTAAGTCATGGCTTTATTTCTAAGCACTTTTAATTGATTTTTAAATTTAAAAAATAATGTATCCTTTAGTATTGGTAATTAGAAAAAGACATTTTATTTGTCTGAGAAATAGCAGGATATTGCTAGTGCTAAACCTAAATTAAGGGAAAGATGACAAAACCTGTGAGGCATCTGAGGGTTACCCTACTTGCAAGCTAACAAGCTAGTCTGCCACAGTGCCGTGACAGCTGACAGAAGACCCAAGATCTCTGGACATGACAATGGGACAAAGGAGGTTGTTACTCACAACACTGTAAGGAGGATAAGCTTCATGCATGTGTCGTTTCTCTTGCCCCAAATGTTATGAGGCAGGAGTGGAGGAACCCAGAAGGAGGCTGCACGAGCAGGAGGCTTTCAGCACAGCAGAAGAACTGTGAGCTTAGGGTACCCAACACTTTTAACATGGGCCACAAGCACACCTGCCTGAATTTTGCCTCAGAGAGAGATGTTGTGCTTTATACACTGGACAGTAAACACATCTGTCCTTGCTCTGGAAGGAGACACTATATACAACATGGCTGTTGTTCACTAAACAAATATCCATGAAAAGATAGTAACTCTACTTGCTTTTATAGAGACACACGAGAGATCCTTGGAAAATTACCTCCCACCTAAAGGAAAGCCGTCAGTGTTGAATTCATGTGAAGAACATCCAGTTGGTGCCCAATGGGCTCAGGCTTAAAATGGGAAACCCAACCCACATATTGAGCAACTCCCTCCCAACAAGGTCACAGACACAAAATTCTTGTGGAAATGATAAAAACTATATAAAAGTATGAATATACATATACCCATTTGCTTCAAAAAGCATTTCCACACAGATATTTCCTTGCTTTGTCAGCTGACAGGGCCTAGAGGCAACAACACCCTGGTGGTAGCAGCACAATGCTATGGGCTGAAGGTTTATGCTTCCTACCCCACGCCACCCCAACTTCATATGTTGAAATCCTAGTCCCCAGAAGAGATGGTATTAGGAGGTGGGGCCTTTGGGAGGTGATGAGGCCAAGAGGGTGGAGCCCCCGTGAATGGGATTAGACCTCACAAAAAGACCCCAGAAGCTTTCTTTCTTTCTCCTAGCTCTTTTTGTCCTGTGGGGTTACAGCAAGAAGACAGCAGCTTGCAATTCAGAAGAAGGCCCTCACCAGAACCCAACTATGCTGGCACCTTGGTCTTGGACCTCTAACCTCCAGAACTGTGAGAAATAAATTTCTGTTGTTTATAAGCAGCTCAGTTTGTGGTAGTTCGTTACTGCAGCCTGCA